ACTCTATACTAGTACGCAGAGCTGTGAGGAACTTAGTTTGTTCTTTTGAACTACTACATTGTTGCAGAAACATTGTAAACTACACTGCACACCCAAACCTCAAACAACTCATTCACACAAACTGGAACATTACCGGGTCAACTGTCATAGTTTTCACATGATAAAAACTGGAAACAAAAAGGGACAAAGCATTTATTCCCAGAGGTTCGGCTATCCGGTCAAAAATGTTAATGCTGCTCTTTTCATCCAGGGAAACTGAGAACCTTCCAGGCCTTCATGTCAGCTTCAAAACTGGCTTTTGTACTTTTAAAAAACAAAAACAAAAAAAACCCTCATTAAGTTTTAAGGAGGGCTTTGAAACAGAGACAGCATTAAAAAGCTATTTTTGAAAGTAAGACACAACAAAAAGATTGTTTCCGGGCGTACAACTGATACTGGGCCCATCCAGGGTGTACTGGAGAGGTGAATGTCTCAGCATGTCACTGGAAGAGCTCAGTAGACAGCTGGAGAGGGAGGTCAGGCCATCTCTTCTTTCTCTGCTGCCGCAACAACCCCGAAGAAAACGAACAGAGGTTTTTGAAAGCGCAGGAAGTATGCAGAGCTGGAAGACTAACGGAAATCAAAACCCCATGAAGACATTCTCTTGGCCGTCTTTGGCCTCCAACATCTTATCCTGTAATTCACAAAGTAGAAAAGGGGATTAAAAGCGTGATGGCTCCACTTACATGGCGGACCTGCTCATTGCTGGTGGAGGAGATGCTGGACTCTGCTTCGTCCGTCCGCTCCATCCTGTCCGTCCTCACGCTGCCCTCCTCCTGCTGCTGCCGCTGACTCTGTTGGTGTGGCGGGCTGCCGTCCTCCATCTTCGTTTTCCAGAAGCGTCCTTCCTTCAGGAAGCTCTGGTACACCTCCAGCTCTTCACACGCTTTTTTCCAACCATTGCTGCGCTTCACCTGCAGCTGCTGCACGCTCACCTTGATGTCCTGGATGTTCTCTGAGGGGATCCACGCTCTGCAGGCCAACAAAGAAGAACAACCATTACGATTGACAGGTTTCAAGCTCTATTCAACTTCAGTTTAGTGTTGAGAAATGATTTTAAAAGTAATTTAAAGTAAGAATCTGGTGTAAAACAGTCACAGCATGTGGCGCTGTCTGAAAACAAACAATCAGAGGAGTCATGCTGTGCTTTGTTATAGTTGTGCTAACCTCTGGTGTTGATGTCCAAAGAAGCGTACGTCCACCTGGTTGTCCTCTCTCTGCAGGACTTTGGCTGGCCAGTAGCCAAAACCTTTCATCTTGGCCCAAACCAAGTCATGGCTGGGGCTCTGCCACGCAACACAGAGAAAACTTATCAGGAACAAGATGCAACAGACGTGATCAGCTCATTTACAGAGATCGTTCTGTAAATGCAACAGACATTCAGCGCACAGTAAAGCTGCATTTCTCAGCTGCCGTCAGCACAAATATTTGCATGAATAAAGATCATTTTTCTGCTGCTAAAAGGAATAAAGTGGAAATTTAGCCTGTTGAAGCCACTTTGTTTATACTCACACAGGGATAACAGAACCAGTTGTCGGGCCGGGCGTTCGACAGGTAGAAACAGTTCTTGCATAGCAACAACTCATTCAACTGGAAGACACGGAGAGTGGGAGGAAAGAGAAAGGAGTGCTCATTGTCCCAAAAAACACATCTCAACTTGTCACTAATTAAAGTTAATGAAAGGAGCTGCGCGATGAACTCCAAACTGGAGTGTAAGAGGAAACGATAAAAAGACGATACCTCGTGACACGTGTCACTGAAGAGCAACCGTGCAATCTCGGCCTGGTCGCTGTGAACTGCAACATACAAAATAAGACAGCAAAACCTCTCAGTCTGGTCACATCAAGGTTAATACAAGAAAAATCCCAAACCTCAACTAAAACATCAGGACATGAAACACTTTGGGTAGTGATAGTAAACCTAATGGTTTCTGGTGTTAACTCTGGTTTTTGGGATCACTCTGAATTCAAACCCAGCAGGCGCTGCTGTTAAACAATATTTTAATGAACATCCAAGGAGAAATTGTGAGGTTTAATAATGTTCTGCAAGTCATCTTGTTGTTATGGTTCTTTTTTGTTTTTTAGCCTAATGAGTTCAGCTCGTGGAGACGATTCTCTAAAGCTTCATTGAATGTATTTAAAAACAAGCATTTGTTTCCTTGTTTAAAATTTGAGATTCAGGGCTTTCAAGATGATCAAATAACAAAATTTTGTTGAGCCGTAAAAGCTCGACACGTGTTACCGGTGTGTTAATTAGCCAAACATAACAAGTAAAACTCTCTAATGTTAAGCTATAAGCAAACCAGGCCACAGTCACATGACTTCAGCACCACCACCAGCAAATCCTGTCCTCTGTGTGAGGACATCAAACAACTTATACAGTCTCAGTCTGACACTTGCTGACATTCATCCTCTGATAAAAGCTACAAAATTCAGTTTGTTTTTTTAAAACAAGGCGAAATTGTCTAAAGCTAGAATTAACCACAGATCTTAAGGCAGCAAAACACACAAACACACAAACACACAAACACACAGAAAACCATTTCAGAAGCGAGGCAGATTAAAGGGACTTAAATGTCCAGGTGTACCCTGACTTTCATCCCACCACAGCTGGGACAGGCTGCAGCATTCCTACAACTCTGACATGGATACGTGGAAGAACATGGATGGATGGATATACTGAAAAATTGTCAAATTGTCCAAAAATGATTCCATGCATTCAATTTATTGATAAAAACATTTAAAACAGACTAACACTAAATGTAATATTCGTTTTATTAAAATTGAATTCTTGTAAGATTCACTCTTTTTACAAAACAGTCAACATTTGGGAACTTTTTTGCTTTTTGTTAAGAGGAAACAGGGTTTACTTTAAACTCCTCAATCTAAGGTCGGTGTGTTTCATAACCAGTATGTGGCGACACATTGAACCCACCTCCGTACAGTATGGCAGTGTTGTGAACAATCATCTGAGCGTCTGCTTTGAACTCTTCAAAAGTCTTGTACTTTCCTTCAGACAGATTCTGAAAGAGTCACAAATATTGAAAAGAAATTTATTCAGGAGGAGAACGAGGACAAAGAGTCCACTCACATGCTGAGTGTGTGTTAGGTGAGTGATACAAAAGAGGTTACCCCCCCCACCCCACACACACACACACAGAGCTTTGGCAGAAGCTGGATGTGATGCACGCCTTACCACAGCACAGCCCTGCCTGTCTGACCAAATCTTGCAAAATGGTTATTTGCAAACCATTCCCAGTACTTAAGACTCGAGTCAAATTTATTTGCATAGCGCCATTCCTCATCTTGCTAACTTTTTCTTGTGTTATGCGTTTGCATCACTGAACTGTACATAATACAATGTAACAAGTGTTCCTTTTAACATTTAAGGTTTCATGTTTGCTCCACTTGATCAGAGTCAATTTCTGTGGGGAGGAATTTGATCTTCCCCAATCAAACCCTGGTACCTATGTGAGTCCAAAGTCTTTCTAGCGCTGATGAGATGCCATGCTAAAGTAGCAGAGTTTTGAAAGTGGAGCAGAACAATATATTAGACAATACTGAGAATAGATTCCAGTGCACATACTTGGTTCCACCTCACAGCCTGAGAATAGCTTGACAAGGGTGTTAGTCCCATCACAAGCCGATTAGCTAATCAATAGTCATCTCAGAGAGCTCACTGGAGCGTTCGCTTTTCAGCGGAGAAATTACACAGTTTCATACCACGATGCCAGAACCCACTCAGGAGTGGATGAACTCAAAGTTCTGGACCCTGGAAAGTTTTTAGACTAAAACCAAGTTAAAAAAGGGGCTTCAATGTAATTCACAGAGATTACCTCCAGGTCTGTTGAAAAAAAAAAAAATGTGGAAAAGAAAAATCAGCTTCTAAACTAACTGATGTCCAAATCCAGCTCACAGAAACAAGCCTGACAACCCAGATGTTAGGAGAACCCAGTACATGATTCTGAAAACAGCCTTGAAATCACAACCTCTGCACAGTGAAGGTCAAAATGGCTGTGAAAATAACACAAATATACTTAATCAGACAAATGTAAGCGGAGCTGTGATGATGCCGAGCTCCACTGTTACCTCTTGGATGTTGGAGACGTCCAGTGCAGTGTGGATCAGTCGTCTGTACATGGGATGTTTAGTGTCTTTGCCTTTTTTGTTCAGGTCCACTGCCTGCAACGTAGACGAGGTGTAACGATAAAACGCAGTCTGACGTAGGAAAGCAGGGATGTGTTAGAGGAAGGTGACGGAGTAATGAAGGAGGGGGATCCCGGGAGGTCTACATCGATAGAGGCAGCATGCGGGGTTAATGATGAGATTTAATATGCCTTTAAGAGGGAGACGGGGGGGAAGATAAAGGAGAGAGGAGATGGAGGGACTGAGTGTGGGCATGGAGACGTAATGGGAGAAAAGATGAGGGGAAGGGTTGTATAATGAGGCCTTTTTTTTTTACTACTACACCGATTCAGCTCCATATTTTTATTCTCGGACTTGAAAACAATCAATATTTATCATTAGTTTTTCTGCAGCTCCTCAGTTGAAGTTCGCGTCCGTCCACCTTTTAAGCCAGCACTCTACTAATCGGCTGCTTCTCGCGAGTAGACCATTTAAACATTAGGTGGGCGGGGCTTCTGATGTCACAGCCAGAGCCGCGCGTGACTGAGATGAAACGAAGCATTCAGAGCAGCCTGAAGCATGACTTTTTGGCTCACAGGAATTTCTCGCACATATGCCGGTCTTATTATTGAAAAACCTCAGCGTGGGCATCCACAGCTGTATATGTGTAACTACGGTAACGAAACAGAAGAAAAAAGGATTTGTAACATGCAAATCTTGTAAGCTGGATTTCCATAGTTAGGTTTGATGACAACAACAACAAAAACAACCAGGGGTAAAAGTACAGGCTGTTCTCACCCTCTCCTTCATACGCTGGACAATGAAGCGCAGGTATTTACACATCTCCTGTTTGTTTAAGTTCTTCTTTTTACTTCCCTAATGATGTGCAGAAAGAAAGAAAAAAAAAACAGACAGACATCACATCACTGCAGGAAGTGTTCTGACAGTGTAATAGAAATACATTTCAATATTAAGTCATTATGGCCCCTGGCAGCTGTTAGAAAGGCAATATCCTGAAATATTAAAAGATAAAATCCTGTTGGAGAGAAACAGAAAGCAGTGTGGGACAGAAACGACTCTATGTGTGAAAAAAAAAAAGACTAAGACTGTAGGATCATCTGTTTGTAAAGACCAGCCTTAATCTTAATCATCAAACAGCCCAGAATCTGTTCACTTTCTCACGAACGTGCTTGCACTCTTCGAACACCCACCCTGCAGACGACGCACTGCCAGGGAGATCCTCCGTCTCTGGGCTTGCACTCGTCCGACAGACACTTGAGATGATAGACTCGGAAGCAGTTGTCACATGTTAGGACGTCACCCGGTAGGTGACACTCGAAGCAGTACCAGTCGTGGCTCTCCGTCTCCCAGTCCTGCAGCGAAGACACAGCAAAGCACAAGTTTGGGTGACCCCCCCCCTCCAACCCGCCAACCACAGCAGGGGAGGAAATGATTATATTTTTTTTTTCCTATCCTCCATCCTTGATTAAAGCTAGCTCACTAGGATGTCAAGCAACAGAGCAGAGAGACCAGTTAATTCCTGAAAGTGTCAGGATTTGCCCCACTGGGAAGCATCAACCTGTTTACTCAGCACTGACAAGGACCATCAAAAGCCTCAATTTTATTGGTTTAGCGCGCCATCGTAATCAAGATTTCTATATTGATCCTACTCGTCCTTTTTCCTGATTTGATGTCTGCGATGTGACTCACTTTCGATTTTATATTTAATTTTTTTTAAGTTATTGCTAGAGGACACGGGGGAGTCAGGTCAGATATAAACCCTAAGAACAAAAACTGACTGGTAACCTACAGGTAACATAGTCTACTGCTTTTTTGCTGCTCATGTTCAGATATGTCTAGAAAATATATGCAAATAGATTCTAGCACATGTGACTGAATAGCTGGTGGTATGATTGTAATATTAGGAACACTTGCTTCCCGAGTGCATTGCAGCAGAAACTTTTAAATACATCATTTCATTGAAATTCTACAGGAATCCTCTATAAATGCACACTGACCAAACTTCCTCACATAGCCTGGGAAAAAAAACCTTTTCATCCTGAATCTGATTATGGAGACACACTCTGTGCATCAGCAGTGAAGTCATTTAGCCCAAAAAAGCTAATTTGGACAAATAACACTGTCCTTGTGATAGCTGAGTAAAAGGTCAATGATTCAAAGTGTGAATCAGTAAGATCATCTGGGTGGAAATATCTTTCCTCTCAGAAAATATGTTAAGCTGGTTTTCAGAAAGAGCCCTTCAAGCCTTTCCCCCTCTTTTGTGGATATACAAGAATGAAAAGAAACAAAGTGGTTGTGCCGAGTTCCTACAAGGTGTGAATGTGGTGAACGGCCTGAGTGATGAACACTACTACAGGAGGGAATCATTCGATTGTTCCTAGATAAACGCAAACAGGGAAGCGGCAGGGCAAAAATGCAGTTTATCTATAAATCAATGCAGCTGTTGAACAACTACAAAGAGGCTTCACAAATGCTAATATTAAAGTAGTGAAGGTTTATTTAGCGTTCTTAAATTATAAATGTATTATTTTTGTCGACCTTTCCTTTTCAAAACTTTTGTTTTAATTGCTTTTTTGTGGTTTGCTCAATTTTAATGAATGCCTGCTACTTCTCTCGGCAATTACTGGCTAGCCTTGGGGCCGGGCATCAATCCTCATTAGTAGGACCACAAACGTGTTTAAATTTCTGTAATGCTCTGCAATCTGGTTTTCTTATGCTAATGTGCAACATTTAACATTTCCCTGCGATGGACTTTAAGTAGAACTGCACAATACAGCTATTGCCATATAATTCAGCCATATTATTGTATCAGCCAATACCCAGCTGATCCTCCTCTATTCCCTGCTAAAAGTAACACAGTCAAGTCCGGCAATTTGTGACCGGTGACACAGTTTTTACGAAGATGGTGCAACAGATTAGAAATGAAATGATCAAGACTGCAGATTCTCAGCTTTAGCTCAAAAGTCTGAAAATAGAAAATACTGTGCTAACCACTGAGGGTGATTTTATTTTTCATATGATAACTTAAAGTTATTTTTGTCGAGTAAGAAGCCCCTGCTACGTCACCAGAAAGGAGTTTCCTCCTGCTTTTATTGAACTATAATTAAAAGTTGTGTTCATAGAGAGCAGCCTGTGAATGGATGATGTGCAGGAGCATTCCACGGCGTATCCGTAGCATTCAGCAGGTCAACTGAGTTGCGCCGAGACAGGAAGTAAAAGCACTAGAAATTCACGTACTTATCAGCCTGTCAAGAGTCCAACTCCTCCCACTCACAGCCTTGCCGACACAGTGGGTCCAGCAGGAGTCGTGACTGAGTGCAGCTCAAAAAAAAGAAAACGCAAAAAAACCCAAAAACCCCAAAAACAGCACTTCTATTTCTCTTGATTTCTTCTCCATGTGCTGCTATAGTTTAGGTTTTGAGGGGGGTGAAGCACACTGGCTAATAGCTGCAGCAATGACAAAGTAGTAAAGAGTTTCTGATGAGGTCTGTTTGCCTTCTGCTTGCTCAATACTGAAGAAAACCCTTTTTAAGAATGCATTTTCCTAAACAATCCTGACAAGTCTTTAAACAAAAGACGGTAACAAAAATCGAAAGTGCAGGAGTGTAACCCGCTGCTTCATATAGGGGATGAAACTAGCCATAAAAAACCTGCAGGACTCATTTGTCC